ATGGCAATTATGCAAGTCCTATTATACCCCCATTATAAAAATTCCAGCAGTAGAGGTGACCCCAATGACCTCAAGGGTGGTGCTGCTTGACCCCTAGCGCTGGCCCTAGAGGCCCTCAATGCAGTGATCGATGTGGCCATTACACTTCCTGAGTTTATGATAAAAATTTCTATACGCGCTTGGCTTTACAGAAATAGATCTGTACCGCTGAGCACAAATATTCGATGTTTTTTTATTTAACGATACATTGGGTGAGATTTCAACTCAGGACATGGACCTCATTCTTTTAAACTGCCACATGGGATGTAGAGTGTGTAGTTCCATCATTTCCTTATTCTCTTAAGCATCTCTAACTTTTCGCTACTATCAACCCTGCTGCTCCAAAGTCCGTGACATTCCTTCTTGTCTGACCAAGTAAGGACCAAGAAAGCGGGGCTTCCCATACCACTGTCCGCAATCTGTCATCTCTATTTCTGTATATTGAATTAACCTAAGTTATTTAAAGTTAACGGTTGGCTCTTTTGTATTCTACCTTTTTGCCATGTATTTACTTCTCACTGGGTATGGTGGGCGTGTTGCCTATACAATTTTGTGTTGTTTTTTGGAATCTGTAGAAATGTCCTTTGTGGCAAATCCGACAGGGCCGTTCATTTGCATTTGACAAGAATGTTCTCCCCACAGACCTCAAACTTGTCCATCACGCCATCCCCGCCCTCTGGATCCCTGCTCACCTTCTACCAGGTTTGCTGACTCCCACGTCCATGCCGTGATGATGGCTTGGTCAATGTTTTTCATCGTATTTCTATTTGTTTTGCTGTACATAGTTCCCAGTTATGTTGTTAGACATCAAGCTCACGACTACGGTGCCTTCCTGGTGAGATCTGCTGTGGGCTTGCGGCTACCCTTTACGGCCGCCTGTGTGTGACTTTAATGCTGCGCTGCTCCTCGTGCAGGCCAGTCCTACCTCTGCCCGGTCCTTCCAACTCCCCAGCGCTGCTGTGCCTTTGGTGTCTCTAACTGCGTGCAGCTGGGATTTACATTTTCCTTTGGCCCCATCCTGACATCTTTCATTTTTCATAGATGAGTTTAACCCATTCATACCCATAAGCACTGCTATGCTGGCCTACCTTATTTTGTTTCCTACTTACCACTAAGTTCTGTCCGGTCAGCTTTGCTCCGTGATGCGGTGGCTCTCCGTACAAACCGCAGTGCCATCCGCCCGTCCACTCAGCTTCTTGTCCTGCTCTGACCTTCCTCCTTCCTCAAGGTAACTTCCAGGTCGCTCTGGAGGGGAGGGCATCTTCTGGCATTGCTTTAGTGCCTTTTTCAGTACTTTGTTCCCCTTCCAGTTGTATCTTTCCATCGCCCTGCCCATCCCACTCCCCAGTCTTTCTCCCAGGACACGTGGGCTCCCACCACCCCTGCTGATTCATCTCGCAGCCCTCTTCCCAGCTAGCTTCTCCGTTTGAAAAGAACCTCATCGGCCAGGCTGCCCAAGTCCGCATCATTTGTCATGGGCCAGCCAGCATCTTATTTAAGCTTCCCACACCTCAGTCTCCTGGTCTGTCAAATGGGCTGACAGGAAAGCCTACCGCATGTGCCAAGAGTGTAGAGTAATGGCTGATGAGAGCCCAAGAGATGTTGGCACTCAGTGTCATCCTTCTAAAGGATCTGAAGAAATACTTATGCGTGGGGTTGACCTTGGTCCTTTCCTATTCAATCTCTGTGTGAGGACGCACTGATGAGAACAGAAAGACAACACCAGCGATGAACACATGTTCCAGTAACTATCCAGTCTTTCTCAGCTCTGTGTGACAACTTGAGACCCTTGGAGGCCGTGAATGCTTGGCACGTGCCCTTGAGTGACAAAGGAAGAAAGGGACTGACACTTAGATTTCTAAACTAATGTAGGAAATAACGGGGAACAGACAAGCTGAAGCCTCCGATGGCGTGAGGCTAAGGCGTATCACTGAGTGCCAGGCACAACAATACGAAGTTTCCAAAAGTAGTACCAGAAAGCGCGGGCATAAATGTCAGCTAGCTACAGTCTATACCGTGAAAATGTGCTCAGAAGACGGGGCCTCTCTACTGGAGAGCTGCTTCAGCAAAAATAAATACATAAACAAAAGGATGCTCCAGTACACTTTTCTTTAGCTTCAGAAACTAAACTTGGCTTCCATCGGAAGACCCTTTCTCAGAAAACAAATGAAACTGGCTTATACGAGAGGCAAGATCGCAGCTTGGGAAACACAGGTGTTCTGTATTTTGCAGTAAGATGACCTTATTTTGTTACTTCATCCGTATGCTTAACAGACAGTTTTGTTTCGTCAGAGCAGCAAAACCTTCCAGTTAACGAGTGCTATATTTTTTTATTCTCCATAGAATTCTGATTTTGTAATACTAAACAGACTGCTTGATACATACCATGAAAACAAAACTTTCAATTTATGAAAGATCAGCGAAAGTATATCAGCAAGGTGATTGGCAGGTGATTAATATATATAAATAATGACAGCGATCAATGGCAATACTTTCAAAATGGTAACTCTTTATCAGTTAAACCTAAAATAAATCACCAAGAATACTGAAGTATAACAAGACTGAAATCCAAAATTTGTTGAACAGAGATGATGTTAAATTGGAGGCAGGACACTGTACTGGGAGCCGGTATATTTGGACTCTTGTTTTGTCCCCGCTGAAGGACAGAAGGCGAACGTTCTGGGCTATGAATCCTTCCCGTTTAAAGTGAGCGAGTTGGCTGGATCATTCTCTAAGGTCTTTCTAGGTTTAACTTTCCCTGACTCTGAAGCCTTTGACACTGACTCATTTTCATGTTGTAAAATAAGTAAAATCTCTAACAATACTGACCTGGCTGTTGGGGGGAGTCCAGCTTCCCACACACAAATACAGCCCAAGCGGTTCCTTGGTGTTTGGGTTCACCGAGAACCACGGAGGCCCAACCCTCAAATTAACAAAGAAAAGCGACAGCCTTCAGGAGGTGAACACGTTCATCCTCCATGAGACACTAACTCAGGACAGATAGTTTACAGACCCCAAAGTCATGGCTATTAAGAAAAGATATAAGGGATGGGGTGCTTGGGTGGCTCAGCTGGTTAAGCATCCAACTCTTTTTTAAAGATTTATTTATTTGAGAGAGAGAGAAAGAGAGAGAGAAGGGGGAGGGGTAGAGGGAGAGAATCTCGAGCAGACTCCCCACTGATTGCTGAGGCTGCCACGGGCCTGGTCTTGTGACGCTGAGACCATGACCCAAGTCAAAATCAAAAGTCAGATACCCAACCCACTGAGACACCCAAGCACCCCAAGGGTCCAACTCTTGATCTCAGCTCAGGTCTTGATATGAGTTCAAGCCCTGCATAAGGGAAGAGCTACAGGGAAACCCCACAACCTCCTCTTTGGTAGAAGGTAAAATAATACAATGATTCTTTAATAAAAGAAGGTAGATACATTAATATAATATCCAATTGATTTTCAACTGGATTTTGTGAACATGCACAATATATATACACCATTAGAATTTTATCAGGACAAGATACAAGTTCAAGGTCTGGATCTACACAGGAGTTTCTCCAACACTGCTAACTTGGACACGAGGTGTATTGTAGTTTCTCACGTTTATGACTGCACAGGAGCCCGTCGGGATTTTTTTCTACTAATGTTGGCTTCTATAGCATTATCTGTAAAGTTCACCCTTTTTAATATAATCATAGAAATTAAAGATGTCCAGTCCTGTTTTAGGGCATTTTATCTATTCCCCTACTTTCCTTATCAGACCAGACTGTCTTTTTGTTTGGAAAGATTGAATGAATTAGTTTCTATCCTCTCTCTATTTGAAAGTCAAGTAGACTTTATCTCTTTTGATCCAAGCTCTAAATGTGTCTTTATTTCTTCCTGATATTTTAAAGTAATCCTCTCTCTATTGTATTTACCAATTCTGAATATTTAAATGTGTTTTGCATTACAGAAATTAAGCCAATTCAAGAAACATAATTGTGCCAAGCAAAATTACTCTAAAAATGTCGTTTTCTTAATAAACACTATACTCTCATTTATGTACTAAAATGCTTCCCATTGAACAGTAGTGATTATGAGCCTTGAAACATTTTTCAACATCTCTAACCCGTGTCACCTTTTCAGAAAACACAAAACTCTAACCACTCTAATGTCCACCTCCCTGAGGGGACTTGGGATATGCACCCTGGGTGGGAGGGGGACGGGGTCCTCTTCTCCTGATTGAGAATCCCCGATACTGAAGAAATGGTATCGCCAGTATTTTGTTGAACTTTGCCTTTCTATAATCTGTATTGTGAAACAACAGATTTTTGCCTTCCCAGATATAAAATTATTTTTATATTATTTTTTACATCACCGGATATGTTTTTTTCAAACCCTATAGGCCCCCTCTCTCATTCCTTGTAAGATTTTGATATACTTCTTTACAGGAACAAGGTTTCTCCCTCTTGAGCATTACTGAACCAGAACATAATTTCTCCATTACTACTCATGATCAGGCCCAATAATTAAGTTTGAGGAAACACTATTAAACTCAAATATAGAAAGAAATGACATTGAAAAATAATGCACAATAAAAATGAATATTGTAATATTGAATATGTTCTGATTATAATACCAATACCAAACTATTTTAACTTTATGCTTGAAAACTAATAGAAAGACTTGTTTGGGACTTTTTTTTTTTTTTTTTTTTAAACTGGGCTCCATGCCCAACACGGGGCTTGAACTCACAACTCTGAGATCATGAGTCACGTGCTGCTCTACCAACTGAGCTAGGCAGGTACCCCAAGAGACTTGTTTTTAAAATGATCTGCTGAAATCATCATGAAATGCATCCTTTATGCAGGTCAATTACAGTAACAAATTATATTGCTTTACTCTCTTAAAATAATAACCATACACTTATTTTCCACCCACTTCCGGACATTCAGAACTAGAACTTTCAGATTTTTCTTTTTTTAACTAAAACTTTTTTTTAGATTTTTCTAAATACATTTTCAGTTGCTACCTACTTTAGAAACTTAGAATTGATCTATAGAATTGCCAACTGTGACAAAATCTTCTCTGATTCTAAAAAATAAAAATTTAACAGGAATATAAAATAGCCATGTCTGTAAGTAATACTTCAAGTGTGTTTTTCCAAATGCTGACAGAGTGAAACATCTGCCTGCCCTGAAGCTGGAATGATTAATATGTACACAACTCTAAAAATAGTTCTGGAAAAATACGGATGCCTTTCTTCCCAAATTTGAAAAATGATTTCCTGTGCCTCTTTGATGCAGCCCGGAACAGCAGATCAAACAGCAAAGGTCTACCCCAAGCATCATGACTAAGGACCTAAACAGAATGCTTCCATGTTGTGGAGGTTTACTTCCCCAACAAGGCACAATAGCTTAGAATGTTCTACCAGAGATCGGGGGAGAGGCCCCACTCCCTCCGATGTCAGTATTCTGCGCCGATGTGCTTTGCGATGGTGTTCAGCTGGATATTTGAAGCTCCTTCATATATTGTGCCTTAAACAAAATGGAGTGAAAGGAACAATTAGTGCTCCCATGGCCACACGTCTGTACAAGAAATCGCTCTCACATGTCACCTTTGTGATTGCTATAGAACGGTCCCTAGTTGGGGCACCTGGGTGGCTCAGTTAAATGTCAGCTTTTGGCTCAGGTCCTGATCTCGTGTCAGGGATTGAGTCTCGTGTCAGGCTCCCTGCTGAGCAGGGAGCCTGCTTCTCCCTCTGCCCTTCCCCGGCTCATTCTCTCTCTCTCTCAAAAATGAAACAAATAAATCTTTTTAAAAAAACACCCAAACTGTCCCCAGTGACACACCATGCCCCTGAATATGGTACTGTATGACAAAGTCATTCTGCCTATAAGATGATAATATTCATTTGGAAACTGGATTCTGATTCCAGAATCAGTAGGAAACACAGAAGTTGTTCCTCGGCTATCCGTGCATAAGCCTGGACCGTCCCTCAGGAACAGGAAGCTTTGAAAGACCCTCGTTTTGGGCTCCCCACCTGGTAGTGGAGCATCAGAACACTCGGGCTTGATCAGGCAAGAAGCTTCTGGAATCAGAACTTTGCTTCAAAGATCAGCATTCAACGCATCAAATGCATTAATGTGTTTAGGGAAAGAAAAATTACAACAGCTGATTTTGTTGCACTTCTACTAAAAGGCCTGTGGATTCATTTAAAGAGGCAATTTGAGGTTTTAAAAAAAAATATACATCCATTTTTTTCTTGAAGGATGGATGGGGGGAAGGAAAACCAACCACAGAGAAGACGACAGCCAGTAAACACAACATGGAAGAGACGACACTGCCTTTGCCCAAGATTTCAGTAGCAGAAAATCAAACACATACAGCAGCCCCGACAGCCACATAGGCGAATAAAAGAAAACAAAATAAAACGTAAAAAAATCTATTTACCGACTTTCGCATCTCGGAAGTATTTTTCCACAGGGTAATCTTTGGTGTAGCCGACTCCTCCCATCCACTCGATACACTTACTGGTGGTGAGGCCCGCCACCTGCCAAAGCCAAGCGGCAGACGACCTGCTGAAACCACAAAACCGATGCACCAGAGACACTCCTGCGGAATATTCTAGTGACGCGGGGTCACCGCTACTGGCAAGTGCAAGGACTGAAGTGACCTTATAAGACAGCATGGTCTCTTCAGTCTCCTTCCCTATACCACTAATGCAAACTGTCCTATTAATTCACAAAATTCCCATTTTCTTAGGAAAATCAGGGTATTGATCTGACACAATCACATGCTACCAACAGGCATTGTTTATTCAGCAAATATTCATCCAGGGCCGCCTTTCCATCACACACTCTGCCAGCCGCTGGGTAAACCACGCTGTGGCGGGGGGGTGGCCGGTCACTGCCCTTTTTGGCTCACACGTCCAACTCACAATTACAGAAACAAGTAAACTCTACGGGGTAAAAGAAGAGCTGGTTAGGAAAGCTGATGTGATTTAGGGGTGGGGAGAACGTGTGAGGAAATGACAGCTTTGTTGAGCCCCAAAGGATGAGTTAGGGGACATTTCAATTTGAGGAACATGTGGGAGGGCTTCAAGAGGAAAATGGGTTTATCAACCTCAGGGACCTGAGGGGGGCAGTGCGCTGGGGTCAGGGCAAACTGTGAAGACCATGGAGAGGCAGGCAGGCGGGCCTCACGATGGCAGGCAGGCTGAAGACTGTAATGGACCCCAAAGACGTCTGCATGCTAATCCCCAGAAACTGTAATGTTTGTTACCTTACGTGGCCATGGGGGCCCACAGTTGTGGTAAGTTGAGGGCTTTGAGATGGGAGATGGTCCTGGATAGCCTGGGTGTGCCCAACGGCATCACAAGGGTCCTCTTAAGGGAAAGAGAGAGGCAGGAGAGCCAGAGCGAGATTTGAACATGCTACCCCGAGGGCCTTGAAGGCGGAGTCCGAGGCTGTGAGTGGGAGAAGGCGAGCAGTCTCTAGAAGAGGGAAGAGCGAGGAAATGGATTCTCCCCAGAGCCTCCAAAAGGCAGCTCTGCTGACACTTTGATTCTGTCCAGTGATAACTCAGACTTCGGAACCCCAGAGCCATGAGATTAATACAATTGTATTGCTTTAGGCCACTAAATTTTTGGTTAATTTGTTAAAAGCAGCAGGAATTGAATACAAATATTGTTCCGTTTGCTGTGAGAAGCCACGAAAGTTAAGCTGGGGTGACATGGGCTCCTGGACATTCTGAAAAGGGAAGACTGGACTGGAGGATGAAGCAAGAGAATCCAATGGAACAGCCAGAAGGTGAGCGGGGTCCTCTGGTCGAGAAATGCCATGGCTTGGACAATAGGGGGCAGCAGAAAGGCAGAGAAACATGTGAGTGCGAGAAATACTCCGCAGTGGATGATGGGATTCAAGGTGGGGATGAGGGGAAAGAAGGTGTCAAGGCACTCAGGCCTCTAACGGGTACAACGGGGTGGGCAGGTCCAATGGAAGCCGGATCTATTAGTCTGGAACTCAGAAGGGAGGCAGAGGTGGGAGGTGAAATTTGGGGGCTGAGAGGTTAAGGAACTACTCCAGGCTACAGAGTGACGAAGACAAACGACAGAGGCTGGGACGCAGCACTCAGTGATCTGGCAAGTTCTCCAGCCAGCGTCTACCGGCTTAAACGGAGAATGCGTGAGGCATCAACAGAAAGCATTCCCTCAAAACGTGAACAATCTCTTCTTGGGTTTTTTATTTCGCGTGATCTCCCCTGGCATTCACTTTGCCCGAACCAGAGGAACCAGGGGTGGGATGCCACATTCAGATAAAGCTCACAGAGGGACTGTTGATGCGTGTTCTACCCGAACTGCGTGACTCAGTTTCCACTGAAGAGCCCGTGAAAACACCGAGACCTCATAGAATTAAAGCACTTTTCCATGGAAGGTTTGCGATTTTGCTTTTCTGTTGTAGGAACCGCAAAGTCTATGCTATTTTACTTGAAAAACAAATGCTCAATAAATACCAAGTGGAAAGGTTCATACATACACAATGGGGGAGGGGAGGGGAAGGAGGCTGAATTACGGATTTCGGTTGTTTGTGGTTTTACCTCTGATGCATAGTATTTGGCCATCGATGCTTCTTTTATGAATGGTTTTCCAGCTTCTAGAAGCCTAGCAGTGTTGTACGTCAGCAATCTCGCAGCTTCCAGCTGGGTGGCAACGTGGGCCACTTGGTGTTGGAGCCCCTGGAAATTCGGGCCCAAGTTAGAGAATTATGATTTCTGAAAAAATAGCTTATCCTCAAAGTCTTGCCTGGATGTGGAACACTGACAGGATGAAAATATACCCCCAAAATGGAATTTGCTTTCATTTTGTAGAAATACTTAAAAATCTGCCATCTACAAGGAAATGGATCTAGAAGACGTTCAAAGTTCATGTAATTCTGTATAACTGTCAAGATTTTTTAAAAAAATCATAGAATTAGGTTTAACAATTTGTTATATTTAATAATTAATTTAAACCCATTTTATGATCAAAATGAAGCTTCACAGTTTTCTTTTAATTACCCATACCCGGCATCTTTAGAAGTGTCATGATGACACCTATCGGTTCACCTGATGCCGTATCCCTCCCTCGCCAACTCCACAGACACAGAAACATTGTTTCCTCTGTACAAAGGAGATCTAAAGCTCCCCACAAATTGTCTTCATATTCTGTCCCTTTCCTTGCGATCTCTGTGGCAGCTGGCTCTGAGAAAGGACTCTAGCATAATTAAATGAAAATAGGACCAGAAGTCAAGACGAAACACCTATGGTTTGACACCTGATGTCCTTGGGAACTCAATCTCTAGGTGCTTCCGTTTCCCGTGGCTAAGATGCAAGGACAGCACGGGCTATGGGGGGCCCTGGCCAGGCCTGCCATGCTCAGTCTTTCCAGACCTTGAACTGACCACGTACTCTCACACTATGCCTAGAATCTGTATGTACAGGCAATCTGTGCATGCTTGTGTAAGGCCAAGTCCTTATCACAGCACCTGAAGACGATGCAGCACAACAGAGCCGGAAATGTAGTAAGAAATCGGACGTGGAGCCTGGAGCTGCCTACAGGGAGGTTTCACGAACATGTGAAACAGTTACTCTGGATTTTTAGGTAAAGTGCTTGAGTAAGTGCAGTAAGCTGCGGCTCCCGGCCTTCCCTAACCTGGCAAAGGCTTCCACATGGACTGGAAGATGCCACGGCCCCCTACAGCCCCTGTATCTGGGGAGCTCCGAGAAGCCACATCATTAGACCAGGCCAGCTTCTTTCAACACACTTGGCTGAAAACTTCTCAGACTCACTGCAGCAAACCGTACTTTCTGCTTTCAAGAAGTGTCCAAGTGTAGTCTTCGGAGGATTATTGTGTGGTTCCCGCACAGAGGGCTCCTAACAAGTGTTCCCATTTACCGAGCACTCGTCCCACTCAGGGAACGTGCTACATATTCCACACATCTCTGTGAGGCCAAGTCACCCTAGCATCACCTTTAGTTTAGAGATGCAGCAGTTGGGGCCCACGGCCTACAGCTGGTAAGAGAGAGCTGGGATTTGAGCCTTGGGTGCCTGACTGCAGACCCCATGCCCTAGAACTTGGGAAGCAGTGCGGAGACAACTGTAAAGTTCTCACTAAGAAATTTGGAGTCATGCCACGGGTGGGCCGCAAGAATGACTGTTCTGCCCTTGGAGAAGGTCAAGGCATTCACAGGTATGCGCACTGAGACCTGTTCCTTCCTCCTCCCCACCTCTCCCATTAAGATTGCCCTGAGGGGATGCCCTCCACAGCTTTATGACACAGCTCTTCATTAGCAGAAATCTCGAGAGGATGGCTCAGAACGGAGAAGCTAATAATTACATACCTGAAAATCAAATATCCTTTTGCCAAACTGCATCCTTTCTTTCATGTAGGGAATAGTGTAGTCAAAGCACCCTTGAGCCAGTCCCAGCATCTGTTAAAAAAAAAAAGAGCAGGATTTCTTATTTTGTTATTAAGTTTATGCTTTTGATTATTCAGGGTATACGTTCCTTTTACAGGCAAATTGAGTCATTGCAGGCAGGGTAAGAACTGGAGGCACCAAGTGGTAGCTTCACCCACTGCATTTGTAGAACTTAACTTCCAGGGAGCGGGAGAAGATTCGAGAAATCATTCGAGTGGTTTTATATCAATAGGGGTCGATTTAATTCTAGCAGAGGTGAGTCTCAGGCTTGGCTGTGCTCCTACCACGAGGTTACTTTGAAGGGAGCTCTTCATTTAAACTCTGCTTCTCCGGGCATAAAGCAAGCCCTGGAAATGCAGCTCTCAACTGGCCTTGAAGACTACAGAGTAGCTCCCTCTAGTCTTTCTAGAAGGCCAGTGTGGAAGGTCACTTCCTAACTTTCTATCTTCCTATCCGTGTTGCATACTATCAGGATTAATAAACGCTTCAGGGAAAGGGCACTAGAACATAAAAGAACACGGTTTCCCAGCCCCAGCTACACATTAGGTCCATCTGTGGGAACTTGAGAAAAAAAAGCAACGTGAGGTGTCTAAGGACTGAAGGCTTGGAGTGGAGGGCGTGAGTGGCCGAGGTGTCAGCGTTTTCAGACCTGAACGGTTTCCTGCAGGGTTACACTGAGAGCACCTGATAAAGACGGGACTTCTGCATGGGAACCAGTCAGGCCTGCTGGTGAGCTCAGCTCAACGGTCTCACTGCTAACTGACCTACTGAACCCTTCAAGCTCGGAAATGGTTGTTCCCTTCCAACATTAGGTGGCCATGAAGTCACTGTCCTGCATGATGTCAAACTATATGGGTTTTAGAAAAAGAATAGAAAAAAAAAATCAACAGTGAAAGCTTTGGGGGAAATGCCCACAAACTTATCAAGATTTCATTAGTGTTCATTCACATTTTCCTTCAGCCTTTTGTTTTGAATTTCCTGGAGAACAGAATATCGAGCTAAAACTGATTAAAGGACACCATCCCCTGCAAAACCCAAACTTCGGTGAGGCACCAACCCACTGCACTTGGGGCTGAGATAAGATGAGGTCACCAAACTCAGGACTGATGTTTATGGCGTGTGGATAATATCCTAAAAATGACCCGTTGTCAGTCACATTATTGATAGTTTTCACTATTAATAATGAAAAACTAAATGGTCTTTGGCTGCAGTTTTGAGGACAGATACCTTCAGTTTGCTATTATTTGTGACTCTTTCTCTAAAAGGGATCCACAATGTTAACCAAGAAATGGCAACTACCTGACTTTAACTTTTAATTAGGTTATAAGATAACTTGGAGTAATCAGATGAAAGTCCAGGCTGTGTATTTTACTACCAGAACATCTATATTATTTATATATCTGAGAACAAGGAGATCCAGTCCTACAGTTTTTAATGTTGTATCTGATGAAACTGAATCACAGGAAAACATTAAAAAGAACAAATAAGCCATTTCTCTCATTATCTAGGTTTGTAAGAAACATGGGTTAAGTTTTGACCTAAGGATGTTTTGTTAGCAAATTAGCAGCAGCAGAAAAAAAATCTAGAGGGATACTACAACATCTAACTATACCAAAGGCTTTAAAATCTAAATGCTGTTAGTTTTTGAATTTGGGATATTTGTTGATTAAAAATAAACAAATATATTCTACAAAATGACATTAAAAAAAGATTTTATCTTTAAGTAACCTCTACATTCAATGTGGGGCTTGAACTTTTAACTCCAAGATCAAGAATCACGTGCTCTGCCGCCTGAGCCAGCCAGGCGCCCCCAAAATGACATTTATAATAAAACCAGATGCTATTAATTGTGTTAATCAAGAAAGCAACTGATCTCACTTCATAGAGCAATGTAATGTGCATTATAAAGGGCAAATTTGGTTAAAAAAAATGGAATAGTTCTCATCGTATGTATCTGTTTAATTATGGCTATTTTATTTCAAGCACCACAAACACAAGATTGCCTGATTTTCACAGGCAAAATGCTAAGCAGCAAATCTTTCATTCTTTACAGATTACAGACCCTCACTACCCAGAGTATCAGGTATTCTTAATTAAAAAAATTTTCTTCTAGAATGAACTTCAAAAACTGAAAAGGTGATTTTTTTTAAGGGCACATTAATTTACAATATATTTGAGAAGTTATCGATCCAGGTATTGGATAATACTTAACATTCTCAAAGCAGAAAAAGCGTCACCACTGAGCCATTGTTTGGTTCTCAGGACATTACATAATTGACCCAAGCAGGATCTGAAAGAAATCAGTCAGAAGCCATCCCTTCCCCTCACGGAAGGGAAGGGCGCCATCTTGTGTTCACAAGCTTCCAACATGCATCAGTTTTCCTTACCCTCCCTCCCTCCCACACCTCTCTCCCTCTCTTCCTTCCTTTGCACTTTTTCTTTCTACCTTTTAATTGGCCCACACTGTGGAAGAGTCGAGCAATTTGGCTAAAATGTGACTAACCTGTGCAGCAACTCCTATTCTGCCTTCATTAAGACTCCCTATGGCATACTTATAGCCCTGTCCAATTTGTCCCAGGATATTGGCTTCTGGAACCTGAAAGAAAAACGTGCAGTTATTTCTACATTTAATTTTACATAATTCATTTTGATTACACAGGTTTATATACACAACATTCCCAATTTGTGTGACAGGACTCTAGCCCAGGACTTCGTGAACTCCAAGGGTACCCCTCGACTCTGTCTCCTCCTCGGCTTCCCACAAAGCTCTGGAGAGGGCAGGACTCACGTCAGGGCTGTTTGCTATTGCTTCTGCTAGCGCCCAGCACAGGCACATGTTGAACAAATGAATGGATCTAGAAAAAGGGACTCTCATACAATCCATCAATAACAGATGAATAATCACTTTCCCCAATTCCTACCTGTATGCTATGGTGAGATAGGACATACTGGGAATTACACAAAACACGTAAGTACTTGGCTAAATCAAGGGTATCCAACCTTTCTTCTGCTGCGACTATCATCCCTGTAAAAATCACCTGAGGTGGGTGCACACACACGCATGAGCATATGAGGGAGGGGCAGAAGGAGAAAAGAAACAGATTAAAATGTTTATTCGTAATTTAAAAAAATGTAGACTGGGAACAATAAAACAATCCATTTAGCTTTATAGCCTCAGGAGAGGGAGTGGGCAGAACAGAGAAAGAAAGGGCAGGCAGGAAGGAAGCCAGTCTGGGGCAATTAGTGAGGCTGGACCATCCGTCTGCAAAGTCAGCCCCTGCGCGCACACATGCTCCCTCATGAACCAAAGGATCAAGTTGTAACACGAGTGATAAAAAGCCTGTCACAACCTGTTCCACCCATGTCAAGTTCTAAAGCATAACCATTCTAGCAGTCTTTTCTTTCTCGCTTTAAAAAAAAAAAAATTCAATGTAATTAACATATACTGCATTATTAGTTTCAGAGATGGAAGTCAGTGATTCATCAGTTGCATGTAACACCCAGCGCTCATTCCATCACGTGCCATCCTTCATGCCCACCCCCCAGTTACCCCATTTCCCTACCCCTCGCCCCTCCAGCAGCTCTGTTTGTTCCCTAGAGTCTCTGATTTTTTTTTTTTTAAGATTTTATTTATTTGACAGAGAGAGAGATAGTGAGAGAGGGAACACAAGCAGGGGGACGGGGAGAGGGAGAAGCAGGCTTCCTGCTGAGCAGGGAGCCCAATGCTGCGGGGCTGGAGCACAGGACCCCGAGATCGTGACCTGAGCCAAACGCAGACGCTCAACGACTGAGCCACCCAAGTGCCCCAAGAGTCTCTGATGGTTTGTCTCCCTCTCTGATTTCATCTTATTTCTCTCCCTCACTTTTAACAGATTCCACTCTAAACTGTGGCGTGCTGCCTCATCAGTTCTCAGGCTCATTGAGCAACATCCCCACCTTGTGGCCTTTGGTATACCACACCACACGTCTGTCTGAAGTCAGTATCAAGTTTATAAAGTATAAATGGTTCACAAGCATATAATTTAAAGAGTATAAACGGGATTAATCCTCAGCATTGGCTCTGCGGCCAGCTGCTAGGCAGAGAAGTTCCCCTCTTTGCCTAAACTCTTGTGAAAAGTACGTTTAGTCAAGAGCTCACCTAAGAATGTTGTCCTACACGTGCTCAATAAGGTGACCCTTTTCTCACGCATCTACAGTTCCATGCATAGCTTATTTCATGCCAGTCTTTTGCTAGAAATTCTAAGATACCCACCTTGACGTTTTCAAACGTTAATGGGCACGTGGAAGAAGCTCTAATCCCCATTTTGTTTTCTGCTTTCCCTATGTGAAGGCCTTCAGTGTCGCGATCTACTAAGAAGCAGGTAATTCCTTTATACCCCTAAAAAGAAGATTCAAAATGCTGATTAAAAAAAAATGCTATTGTCACACTTGAACTCGTAAGATCCCTTGTTTCCAAGAGTTGGAAGTTGACAGAAAACTAAAACTGAACTTTGGCATTAATATTAATGGGCTCAGAGCTGCAACACATGCATTAGGAAACTTGGAAAACACTAGATTCACAATTAAGAAGTCTATAATTTCTTTTACTTTTCCAGAAAGCATTATGGCTATTAAAATTATTAAGATACACTAAAGTATCATGTGATCATGAGCATTCCATGTTTTAAACTTCATTTGTTAAGTATGTTAGTTTCAAAATTTAATTCAATTAAATGTTATGTCAGAGAAAGGACAATCAAATGTACTTACCTTTTTGTCATATACCCATTTTCCAACTAAACCAAATATTCTTAAAACAAATGTAGTAAGTAGGTACTTAAATTCATCCTCAAATAGAAAATGTGAAATCCTACAAAATGAAAGTTTAACTTCTGATACAACATATTTGGTGGCAATTAATAAACAGACTCTGTGTAGTTACTAATCACATCAACTGTATATATTCGGGGAGAATAGTAAATAAGAGGCTGAAAAATGTCAGTTATCTAACTTTTCAGTACTGAGGAGAATGAGGACTTTCAGACAAAGCTGTAAAAAGGAAATGCAGGCAGGAAAGAGCTACGGAGAGAAGAGGCTGGGGTGGGGGAAAATTCCTGCTTTCCAACTTACAAGGTCAGGGTTTACGTTTGCCATCACCAGGAAGATCCCCGCGTATTCTGAATTGCTGATCCACATCTTTGACCCATTGATGACGTAATAGTTTCCCTTTTTATCAGCTCTGGTCTTTAAAGCAAATAAATCACTACCGGCTCCAGCCTCTGAAAGACAGATACTTCCAACCTACATATGCAAGCAGAAAAAATTCCAAGTTAATAACTGTGTCTATACTGTGCATAACAAATACTTTAGTAAAATAAACAAGTGTCATTTAAAGCTTTAGCCACTTTTAAAAGCCTGTACTTATCAGAATCATAATTGTATTTCCAAAGCGTTATTTTCTAATATATACCCTACTACTTGTCTAAGATTTAAAGATATAAGTGCACAGATTCAATGTTAAATTTAATTAAATCCATTCTAATAATTGCAGTTTTCTAGACATCTCACTGTAAATGAAACCACCAACCAAAGTATGAAGGAAATAGAACTGGGGCCAAAAAAAAAAAAAAAAAAAGTTTTTTTGTCTGCTGATTATTCTCTGAATTTCCAAGCAGAAATAAGAGGCAGAGTATATTCTCCTAGGAGCAGTAACTTACTGGGCATTGCTTGATTATTGAACGGTAGGTACCGTGCTGTCAACATTGCAGAGTCAACACTGCAGCTGGAGGTGTCCCAAGTTTAACAGAGATCAGATTCATTTAAACAACTCCTATGGACTCACTTGTTCTGTCGCAAGCTTGGTCAAATAGGTGGCCTTCTGTTCTTCTGTTCCATATTTTCTAATCAGATTGTTAATTACTGTGTTCTGGATGTCACATACCAAGGCCACAGATGCATCGACTTTGGCTAATTCCTCTATCGCTAGGATAGAGGAAAAAAAGGAAGCTTCGGTTCCTCCATATTTTGTTTCAATTTCAATACCCATCAACTGAAAGGAAAAACAAGGAAACAGATTAAGAAAGCTAATTTCTTTTTTTTAAAAGATTTTATTTATTTATTTGACACACACAGAGAGAGAGAGAGAGAGAGAAAGAGAGAGAGCAAGCACTAACAGGGGGAGCAGCAGAGGGAGAGGAAGAAGCAGCCTCCCCACTGAGCAGGAAGCCGGATGTGGGACTTGATCTCAGGACCCTGGGATCATGACCTGAGCCAAAGGCAGACGCTTTACCCACTGAGCCACCCAGGTGCTCCAAGACAGCTAATTTTCATATGGGAAAATTGCTCGCAAGAACAAGTTCAAAATTAAATTTTAACTATATAAATTCCTAATTTTAAAACTCTGTATGTAGGGGCGCCTGGGTGGCTCAGTGGGTTAAAGCCTCGGCCTTCGGCTCAGGTAATGATTTCAGGGTCCTGGGATCGAGCCCCACATCGGGCTCTCTGCTCGGCGGGGAGCCTGTTTCCCCCTCTCTCTGCCTGCCTCTCTGCCTGCTTGTGATCTCTGTCTGTCAAATCAATAAATAAAAACTTAAAAAAAAAATAAAAGCCTATTTGTACATTTTATTTTGATTTGGTATGGCTTTTGTACTATCTTGTAAGTAACAAAAACTACAGTGGAAGCTGTACCTCTCTGAAAAGGAAGCGGTTACAAGCTAGAACTGCCATTCGTTTCCTTGTGGTATCTGAAACACAAGAATCTGTAAAATGCTTTGAAGGATGATGGAGCGGAAGAAGGAGAAAGTGTCTCCTGCAGCAAGGACCTAGAGGAAGGCAGTGCGGCACAATCCCTTCTAGCCAGGCTCCTTGCCTTGACTCCTTCAGCCAAGCTGGTAACTGAAGGATCGCACCTTCTGGGACATTCTAGGTGGTTAGCAGACATCTGGTGGTGTTTCCCCAAACCCCACCAGACAAGGTGGAAGGGGCGTGGTGAACAGGACCAGATGTGGCCAAGCTTTCCAAGGATTTCCAATACTTTCAGTATTCAGCAGCTACTCCTAAGTCTGGAGCGCGAAACTCCCGCAGTTCTGTTTTTCTCAGAAAGTCCCCATTTCAGAAGGAGCACGTGTGTATGTGTAATTCATGCCCCAGAGCTGTGCACAGATAAAAAGGATAATGCAGCTTTCTGTTCTGCCCAGCCGCTTCTGGAATCACAGCGAGCTGCCGTCTGGGTCCCGGCGGTCGTGGTCAGCAGAGGGGAAGGCAGGGGGAAGGCCGGGGTGAGATCCAGGAATGAGGTTCTACGAGGAAACACCGAAGGAAGAGGGCGCGGCGGCGGTCCAAAGCTGCCATCATCAGGATGCCGAAGAGCTGTCGCCACACTGCTTCTCCCAAAAAGTCACCGGTTTTCCCTCCGTGGGAAAGACCGTGTTTGTCGGCGACTGCTACAGCAGGGGACCGCACGGGGACAGGAGGCGGCAGAGAAGAGCTGGTGTGGGAGGTGCCACCAAGTAGACACTGCAGCTGGCGCGACCCTTAAGGCAGGGCAGCTGGTGGGCTTCAGAGCACCCGGCCCGCAGGAAGCCGCCCCATCAGAAGAGTGAGGTTCAGCGGGCAGAACCCTAAGCCTTCTCAGAGCGGCCCAGGGGCTCTGCCAACGATGAAGATGAAGCCGGCCCGAGAAACGGGACCCCCAGATGCCACCGACCCCGGGGCTCCATACAAGACGCCACGTTCCCAAGCGTTTCATTGCTTAAGAAAAGGTGGAAAAATCACGACTAGTCAGGATATCACAAAGCCGGTCTCTTCAAAACAGGACGAAGCAAAAACTATTCCCGTTGGGTGGAAAAGGAGGTATTTTTGCAGCAGGATGACAGACAAAATTTTACCCCATGGCTCCGAAGAGGAACTACCCATCCTGGGATATCCCATATTCAAAATGAAAGGGAAACGTCACTCGACGGCTATGGAGAGGGAGAGATGATGAGTGAGGGCAGTGACTCTGAAAATGTTCTTCAGCCGCCATGCAGCTAACCTACTGGGGCAGCTCTACTGTCACCCGTGGTGTCTACTGGGCTTCTAGTCAAGGGCTCTGGGACTTCGGGCACTGGAAGCCGGGGTCCCTGGTTGGTGTGGAATTCAGAGGTCGCCTCCGCTTCTAGGTTTGTGGTGTGCAGAGGGACTTGGGTGGGATACAGGGTCTAATGTGAAGTCTCACTAAAATCCTCTTTTTTTTTTTTTAAGATTTTATTTATTTATCTGACAGAGAGAGAACACAAGTAGGCAGAGAGGCAGGCAGAGAGAGAGGAGGAAGCAGGCTCCCTGCTGAGCAGAGAGCCCGATGCGGGGCTCGATCCCAGGACCCCGGGATCATGATCTGAGCCAAAGGCAGAGGCTTTAACCCACTGAGCCACCCAGGTGCCCCTAAAATCCTCTTCTTAATCCTGGTGGTTGTTGAGGGGGGACAACCCTATGTTGGGGGGCAGTCCTGTACACTTAGCAGGACCCTGACCTCTACTCCACCAGATGCCAGTGTCACCCCCAGTTGTGACCACCAAAAATGTCTCCAGAGACTTCCAGATGTCTCTTGGGGGGCAAAAAGAGCCTCTGGTTGGGGACCATAGGTGTAAAGAAATCACTCGCTCTTGCTTCCAAGCCCTTTTATTAAAAAGCACAGTATTTCTAACTCAAAACGCTAAGTCAATTTAAAAGAAACTTTGAGCCAGGATCTCAAACTAAAAGAGAACACAGAGGGGCACCCGCGAGGCTCAGTCGGTGGAGTGTCTGCCTTCCAGGATCTCGGGGTCCTGGGATCGAGCCCCGCATCGGGCTTCCTGCTCAGTGGAGCCTGCTTCTCCCTCTCTGCCCCTCCCTGCTGCTCATGTTCTCTCTCTCAAAAATAAAAATCCTTAAAAGAGAACACAGATAATTTTGACTTGGAAATGAAGAGTTCATTAAGCCGTCCTTACAGTTCCTGAATTTAGTCACATGCATACATTTTAATGCTGGACAGTACTTATAGGAAAGTTTGAAATGGGAAGAATTATAAAGTATATACCCCTTGTTGAAACAGTCCTTGTATTATCGATATGTCCATTTTTGAATTCTCATCCATGGTTGAAACCAGAGGAGCAACCTGTTCCTGGGCAAATTTTTTAACTGTAGGGGGGAAAAATACGACAAGTCTTTACTTTTTTAATAGGATAGGTTTTACTTTTTCCAAAAAAAAAAAATTTTTTTAAGTTCATGTAAAAATATTCCATTTACAAACTGAGGTGACCATACCCCCTAGGCCCGTCATGGGATTTCACACCGGACCCAACTGGTGACCAGAGGGATCCGAAGGTCACACTGGGTCGTGTACTCACCAGCGTCCTTTATCATCATCTCCTCATCTGTAAACATCTGCAGGGGAGCACAGAACAGCCTGGGGTTTATTGTACTGAGGAGAGCTTCTGACTGGGAAGACTTTAGGACATGAGGCGTTTTCCAAGAAGACAGGCAAGTTGGGAAGTTTCTTCTTAGCTGTGGGAACAGTCCCATTGAACAGGGGACACACACATACCAAAAGTCAAGAGAAGTACGTGAACATCGGTTTCTTTGGAATTAACTTTATAACCCCTTCTTACCTCTTGTGTCACCAAAAAAGAAGAGCGGAAGCTGGCACATTTTAAAATTCACTGTCTTGTGAACAAAAACACAATTCCTTTTTAACATTACGTCCTTTATCCAAGCAATAAGCTCTTCTAACTCAACAAATTTCCCAGAGTATTACCTTTTACCCTCTGGCAAACAGACCTTTTGGGTGGGGGGATGGGTGAGCCCGGTGGTGGGTATTAAGGAGGGCACGGATTGCACAGAGCACTGGGTGTTACACGCAAACAATGAATCTTGGAACACTATTTTAAGAACTAATAATGTACACTACGGTGACTAACACAATAAATAAAAATTAATAAAAAAAAAGAAAACAGAACTTTCTAGGTGGAACTCTTTCTTTTTTAAAAGATTTATTTATTTATTGGGGGGGAGGGGCAGAGTGAGAGAAAGAATCTTAAGCAGACCCTGTGCTGAGCACGGAGCCCCACTTGGGGCTCGATCCCCCAACCCTGAGACCGTGACCTGAGCCGAAATCATGAGTCAGAGGCTCAACCAACTGTGCCACGCAGGTTCCCCAGAACTCATTCTCAAAATGTCGCATTCCGTGGACTTCTTTGGAGGGGAACCCGAATATAACAACAGTACGGGGGGGACCATGGCAAAGAGCATCATCGAGTGGTGCGGGAACAGGTGAGGGCGTGGGAGCTGCCCTGACCTGTCCAGGGTGGCTGCAGGCACTAGGGCTCGCCTGGTTCTCCTGACTAATTCTGTGTTTGAGCTTCGCATCAGTAAGAGATGGTACAGCATCAGGGTTAAGGAAACAGGCTCTGCGGGCTGAAAGAACTAGCTTCCAATCGGGCATCTGGTATTTACCAGCCAAGTGAACTGGGGCCAACGATTTCAACCTCAGGTAAAACCTCTCTGTCTGTTTCTTACCCTGAAACGTGTAGACAATCATCTTGAGTCTTGTGAGGACTAATGCAATAACCCATGCCATGAAGGGTTTGGTAAGGCATCGGCCGTACAGCAAGAGCTTGGCAGATGGTAATGACTTTCTACTCGGACCCGGGAGAACACGGGGGTGGCAGTCCTAAGGGAGGCAGGCCCAGCAGCCGCTGCAGAGTCAAACTGGAAGGCTGGCTCTTGGGCGTGTCCCCCTGGGGCTACATCCCTGATGCTTTAAACCTGCCAACTGCGTTCAAACAATGGATTTACTCCCATCTCGTTGAAAAAAGAAACCATCCCATTTGAAATGCTTGCTGTATTCTTCCAATTTTATTTTGTAGAATTTTATTACAGGGGAAACAAACAAGCTATTAGTCTTTGTAGGTTCACTAAAAACAGGCTCAGTGAAAGAAGCCAGCTACCAAAGATCACATCTTATAGAATCCTATCTATATAAATTTTCAGAAAAGGCTAACCCACAGAGATAGAAACCCAGTCTGATGCTGGGGTGGAGGGTGGGGGAAGACGGTTCTACAATTCCGTAAACCAACAGCAAAGCATTGCATTATACACTTTAAAAGAGTGAATTTGACAGTAATGTAAATTATACTTCAATACAGCTGCTGGAAAAAAAAGAATTAATGTTTTCCTTTCATTCAACAAGATTTAAAAACAAACATTCTGGGCATCTGACAACTGCCTGAGAGCGCAGGGTACCGGGGGGAATTCTCTAAGGCTCATGGAACAGGCAAAAAGTAAAGCCAAGTTTTGCAGGATTAAAAACCATACATGGTGTTAAAAAAAAAAAAAAGCAAATATAACAGCATACTGCAATATATTTTTTCTCAATAGTTTGCTTACACATGGAAACGCTTATTGGTAAAAACAAAACAAAAGAAAACAAGAGTCACTATGTCTGAAACCGCTGTTGATCTTTCCCATACTTGGGTCAATCTTTGTGGTTAATGCGCCCAGGAGTCTGTGTACTCTGCTCCACATTCAGAAGCGAAAACAAACACTGGCGGGTTAGAAGAAAAATGTGTGTCTCTCAATTTTGTAATTAATTTTGTTTTGTTTGCAGAAGTAGGAGGCAGATAGTTCAGGGCAAAGTTGCGTGGAACATTTTCACCTTGTTAAAACACCTAGTTGGGCAAGGAACACTTTGGACCAGAAAGAAGGAAGGTAGTAATGTCTTCTCCCCGACGAAACAGATGGAAGAACCACGGGTAAGGAGGAAGGAGGCAAGAAATGGAGGTGCAGAGAGGCTTTAGGACTTTAGGAGGTGAGCAGTGGTGCTAAGAAGCATCAGGACAGAATGTGATCAGGACAGAAGGCACCAAGGACAGATGGGCCTGGGGGACGGGGGGATTACGAGAAGGAAGTGGTGGGTGGGCAAGTCCTGCATGGGGCCCTCAACAGATTTAGGAATTCGTGAGACAAGGAGCCAACTAATCTCCTCCACAAAATGATCAGGAAACTAGCCGGTTACATTTGAAAACTCCAACACATTGCCCTCTATTCTTCTTTCTAGAGATTATTTACTTCATGAGACCCCCCTACAGAGTTCTTTGTCTCTCTGAGTCAACCTATCACCTTTGTACTGAGTTTCACAGAAAGCCCACCACGGAGAAACCCGAGAAGCCAGCAGGTACTACGATAATACCCATCTGTTCCTGCTTGACACAGCTGTGACCCGCTTAGTCTAAAAATTGCTAAAAAACTGCTACTTAGTCTAAAAATTGTGTATGACTGTTCGACACATAACGATTACTTCATTTCTTTTAAAGATTTTATGTATTCATTTAGAAAGAGAGAGAGAGAGAGAGGCAGAGAGAAGCCCAAGCGGACTCCACGCTGAGCGTAGAGCCTGAGGTGGGACTCGATCTCACAACCCTGAGATCATGACCCGAGCCGAAATCAAGAGCTGGATGCTTAACTGACTGAGCCACCCAGGTCCCCTGACACATAAGAATTATTTTAGACTCAGGAGACCACAGAGGTGAATGAGATTTACAAAGTGGGTAGCGGCGTACGGAGGCAGGGGTGAGCTGAATAAAGATGTCATCATATAACACAGTGACTCTACCCTAAGAAGATGGGATCCCTTTTAACCAAACGTTACAACTGAACATCATGTCCCATCCTTTTGGGCAGGAAAAAAAAATGTTCCTTTTAGTAGGACAGTCTTTTTTTTTTTTTAATTAAAAGATTTTATTTACTTATTTGACAGAGATCAAGTAGGCAGAGAGGCAGGCAGAAGAGAGAGAGGGGGAAGCAGGCTCCCTGCTGAGCAGAGAGCCCGATCCCAATGCCAGGCTTGATCCCAGGACCCCGAGATCATGACCTGAGCTGAAGGAGTAGGACAGTCTTTAATAAAGGAAACATTTCCCTGCCTTGCCTTTAAACCCAAGTCCGAGGTTTCGATGATGATTTTCAACCATCCCTGCTCCTCGGTGTTGACCTCAGCCTCTGCAGCGCTGGGATCCACTCCATCAAAATGATTTTCCACAGTTATAACCCTTTGCACCACATCATCACATTTTTTTGTATAGAGCAGCAATCGCTGCTTGAGTGGAATCCTAGTTATTTATGCCTTGCCAAGTACTTCTTGTAGCTCAAGTCTGATCTGTTTCTGACTCAATGGACCAGAGTTCTGCTGCCCTTACTAGTACTGACGATCAAACCTGGGGTCTGCAGACTCCTGTGGGCAGAACAGTGAAGCCTGTGAACTTGGGTGGGGGAAATTATACCTTTATTTCACTAACCTCTAACCTAAGTCAAACATATCCTTCAGTCGCGAAACGGAGGCCCCAAGTTACATGTTGTCTGCGACTGTCACGGAGAGAAATTACAGGTATTTTTATATAAAATAACAGCTGGTGCACAGATCTGAGGCACCTCCCGACTTCAAACCTACTGACCTGTTACCAGATCTTACTTAAGAAACTCTTATTACTTATTTACTAATTTTTACTTATTACTATTATCACAATTAAAAACATTTTTATGGCTTTTTATAACTGGGTTCCTTTGTAATCCTGCGTAGTTTATGCCTTTTAAAACGTTTTAAGAAAGGGTCTATTAAACTTCACTATATTGCTGGATACCTTTCCTCCACGGCACAAGAAAAAGTAAAGAACCCCGGACTGCCGAATGTTCTGGTAAATTTTTTGCTAAACTCATTAGGCTTAGCTGTTGGGAGTCATAACCCTTCTCCATTATGTCCCAGCATAATGGAATATCCTTCCAAACATTCTTTGAGTGCCTTAAGTCTACAGGCTTTTACGATGCCCGAAAGGTAAAACAGGACACAGGAGAGAAGTTTGCTGACTTGCAAAGTCCCTCTTAGACTTTTCCAAAGGAAATGTTCTGATAGAACACAGAGGGCTCCACCTTAAATGCCTATACTCAGGGGTTCCTACCAAATGTGCCCTCCTGGGTCTCTTTTCTGCATGTGTGCACTAAGGTGTGGTCTTTTTCCCCCTTTGATTCCATCCCAGCACTCCAGAGTTCACATTATCTTGTCTTCTTTTCTTACTAGTAACTTTAAAAAAAAAAAATTTTTTTTAAGATTTTATTTATTTATTTGACAGCGATCACAAGCAGGCAGAGAGGCCAGCAGAGAGAGAGGAGGAAGCAGGCTCCCCGCTGAGCAAGGAGCCTGATGTGGGGCTCGATCCCAGGACACTGGGATCACAACCTAAGCTGAAGGCAGACACTTCACCGACTGAGCCCCCCAGGTGCCCCCTCACTGGTAACTTTCTGGGGGTGAGAAGCTTGGCTCTCACGATCTAGGATGACTTCCTGTGCGAAGCTAGGGACACGTACAGCCGTCTCAGCAGTGCTACCCGTGCCGCTCGCTCTGAGAACAGGTGTACCTGTTATGGTGCGGTGCTCATGTACAGCGCTCTTCATCTGTGGCCTTGGGGTACTCGTTCAAAACACTGTCTCTGCACCTTCTTCCTTCCCTACCCCCTTTG